CAGGGGCTTTCCCTGAACAAGCAGTGGACCAGAGTTGAGAACCTCTGACCAAGTGCATGATGGCGTGTTAAAAATCCTTCTTATTTTAAATTAGCTTCACCACAGTCATTACGAAGGTCCTGTATCATGATTGCCATCCTTTAGGTTGTGAAAGATGATGGAATTTCCTTTAGAATTAGTTAATATCACTCTTTAATCAGCAGTTTGTATGGAGGTACTTGGTGAAATAAGTCATATCTGTCCCTCCTCTCATAGTCTAGGCTTTGAAGTTGTAAATCTTACTTTTAACCACTTCTTTTAAGTTAGAGATTTTTTTAAAAAATGAATAGAATATCAACATTCAAATGCTGAATTAGCTATACTGTCTAGCCAGTTCTACATCATCAACCTGAGCTTCTGCTGAAACTATCAATGCAATGGCTATTTCACTAAAAAAACATTCATAGCTGTGGTGATAGTGAAACAGTTCTTAAAAATCTGTTCTGAATATGAACTAAAATATGACTACAACTTTCCTTTAATTTCGTATATCTTAGTCAATACTGGTATTCTGAAAAGTAGTATATTTGGGAGCCAACCTTGCTTCCATTGTAATCATTTACATTGTTCTGTCACTGCAGATCTCAAAATAACTGTGTTGGAGTCCAGAGAGAGAGCTAAATAACAATAAATTTTTATAGACCATAAAAAGCTCGGTATTAAAAATGTAGGAAAAACCGAAGTTGGGAAATCAGTAGATTTTTAGAATGTGTATTTCTTTCTGCCCAAATTTCTTTATAGTTCAGATCACCTGATTAAAAATTAAGTCCCATTCCACGTTTACTTTACAATGTTTGGTCTTTTTAGAGGATATATAATTTGCTTATTGCATAGACCGCTGTATACACTTTGGTTTTGGCTTACAATGCATAATAAATGCATATTTATATATTATCCCTTTAATATATTTAAATCTGTAGGGGACGTGATCAACCTTGGTGACCGACAACTGACTGTCATGCATATGCCTGGTCATTCAAGAGGAAGTATTTGCTTACACGACAGAGATCGGAAGATATTGTTCAGTGGAGATGTTGTTTATGATGGATCGATGATTGACTGGCTTCCCTACAGCAAGATAAGTGATTATGTCACAACTTGTGAGCGTCTTATAGAATTAGTGGACAGAGGCCTTGTGGAGAAGGTACTTCCAGGGCATTTTAACACCTTTGGAGCTGAAAGGCTGTATCGTTTAGCTTCCAACTACATTTCAAAAGCTGGAGTTTGTCACAAAATTTCTACCTGTGCCATGAGGTCCATTGCAAGTTTAGCTCTTCGTGTGACAAATTCTAGAGTCACTTCTTAGTGTCAGTTCATTTTGTTAATATCAGCTGTTGTAAAACCAAATGGCTTCTGAGCTAGTGTTGATAAAAAGCAAACAAAAGCAGTGCGTTATTAAAGAAAAGGCAGACTGATAATGAATGATCCATAAAGATTTTTATTTTTGCTTATTTTATTTTTATTTTATAAAATTAACACAAGCTATACCTATGTTAATTATCTTTTCTTTCTGTTTTTCAAGGCATGTTTGCACCTGGATTATGAATGCCGTTAGACTGCGGTTGGAAATATATTGTTTTATTTTTGATATTATTCTAATGAATACATATGATATGCCAAAATGAAAAGTTTGACATTCGTGCCTGAAACTTAACTTTTTTTTAATGTGGTGTTAGGTTAAAGGCTCAATTTGTGTTTAAAGTGTACTTTAAAAATGGCTGAAATGTAATTTAGCTGTTAGTGCTATATTTGAAAAGATAGCTGTAACATTCCATTGTCCTATAGTACTGAATTCAACATCCAGTACACTTAGTTTATTACTTTTAAAGTGAATGTAACTTGAACTGTTTACTATTTGTTTATAAAGTGTTTCAGTACATATTGTTGCTTTTTGAAGAAGTGCATTGCATTTGAGTCTCTGTTCCTAAAATAGATTAAATGCATCCATGAAAATTGCTAAGATATATCATCATTTCTTCATTAAAATTGACGTGTTTGTTGTTTTAAATGATGTTAAACAAGTTAGTTTATATGTGCATAATTATTTAACAATTTAAATAGAATATAGATACTATTTTAAATGGACACTGTCTGATTATTTTTATATATATTTTATCTTCCTAAGAAGTTTGACAGTGTTTAGTTTTCAAATTTTGTTTTTCCAGTTTAGCAAATTTCTTTTATCCACTATGTTTAAGAGGAGTTTAAAAATTAACCTACTTCTTTGTTTGCAATTGACTTTATGCGAAGAGATGGTTTTATGTGATCATACCAAACTATATTTTGGGCTCTATTCAGAAGAAAATATCTATGGCCTTTCTGACCTAACATAAATTTTGGGAGAAAGAATGGTCTGCCATGGAAACTAATCAGAAATTAATAAGCACTATTGCCCAGAAGTTATGGAAGTGAAGATCTTATGTAAATCATCTCTCCTCTCATGGCTATTTACTTCATATATTCTTCACCAAAAGCAGCACTGCATATAGAGTTTAATAAAGGCATGACACATTTATTTAGATTTTAACAGTGCCTAATTAATGTATGCTGGAGCAAAACTGTAAGTGGGCAGAACAGATCCACCAGACCGTGGCTAGTCAGAGGACAAGTTAGCAATTATATGTTCTGGTTTTTGTTTGTGTAAGAAATCTAAATTCCTTTATATGATTATGTGAAGGAATGATAGCTTCATTTCTGAGGTTAGTTCAGGAAGAACTATTTAACCCAGTTGCTACTTTCTTTAATACCAGAGATGAAAGGCAAAAAAATGGGCCTGAAAAGAAAGTTACTCAGTGAAGGGCCACAAAACAAACTTCAGATCATGGCCTCTCTTCTTTTCAGTTGACTGACATTTGCTCTTATCTGCATATGCTCATTCCAGTCTAAATATTATTCTGAAAAGCAGGCAGGTTGGCAGTTTGAGAACTGTTGTGGGAAGTAGAAAATTCAGAATGCCTGAAGAAGCATATTGTAGCTACCAAAGAAGCTTGGGTTTACATTGAATTGTCTGGGTGACTTGCAGCAGCTGTTGTGGACCCCTTGATTCAGTAACTGCCAAGAAAGGATGTTTTGTACGGTTTTAAACACAGAATTTGTGTTCCAGCATCAACTATGTCATACTGTAGAGTCCTTAAATTCTGACTTCACTGGGTGTTTTGCCAGCATCAAAGAGCAGTAATTATCAATAATATCAGTAATTGTCAGATTTCTTCCTCCACTAAGTTTTGCCTAAATCAGTAGTTGACCCAGTATAAACACAGTCTTGGAATGGTGTTTAATAGTATACTGCTTGCTCCAGATACACAGAAAATCCTAGTGTTGTGGGTCTTAAAATAGCAACTATTTTTATATTATAAGAAATAACTTGTTAGGCAAGTAATATCCTCTCTGTAAAATATTTGGAGGCCTTCCCCCTCAGACTATATTTTTTTTGTCAGATTTTGATCTTAAGAGTTTAACACTGTCCCTTTCACATTATTTGATTAAATATATTTAAAATCGGTTAAGTTTAAGTATTGCAAAATTTGGGGTGTTTAGAATTGTTTGTAAAAAGTCTGAAGCACTGTCTGTGTTAATTAAGTTTGCTGTTTTCAGTATAGTGGAGGTTTTATGGAAAAATTAAACTTGGTCTGTCTTCAATCAAAATTTTATTGATGTTGGCTGTCTGTTTTCTAGGAAACTGTATTGCATCTTATTTTGCAATGGATACTGATAAAAAAAAGTGTTATAATAGTGTCCAGTTATAATTTTCATATGTCTTAGAATCATAGAAATATAGGGCTGGAAGGGATCACAAGAAGTCACCCAGTCCAGCCCACCACACTGTGGCAGGACCAAGTATATATCTAAGGTGTTTGTCTAAGTCTCCCTTGCTGTAGATTAAGCCAATTACTTTTTGTCCTACCTTCAATGGACAGGCCCATTGTCTTTACAACCGCCCTTAATCGGTTTGAAGACTGTTATCAAGTCACACACGTACTGTTTTCTCAAGACTAAACATGCCCAGTATTTTTAACCTTTTCTCATAAGTCATGTTTTCTAAACTGACTATCATTTTTGTTGCTCTTCTCTGGACTCTCTCCAATTTATCCACATCTTTTGTAAAGTGTCACCTAAAACAGAACACAGTACTCCAGCTGAGGCCTTACCTGTGCAGAGTAGAATAGAATAACTAGCTCCTGTGCCTTAAAATATTTTTCTATATGTTTTAAATGGAATATTTTTATTTAATAACAGAAAAATTAAGATCTTTGTTTAAATGGAAGAGGATATTAGAAATGTAAATTTTGTAATCACATTTCTATCCTAATAATGTAAACTGCACTGTAAACTTACTCATGATGGACAGATGCTGCAAGACCTGATTTTGGTCCTTTCTTTAGTAATGTGTTTGTACCAAAAAAAACCTTAAATTTCTTTCAGCAAAATCCACACAGATGAACATTGTATTATATAATTCCCTTCTTTTATTAGAAAGACTGCTGGCAGGAAGCATCCCCAAAAAACAGGAAGTACAATTTTGCACAAACAAAAGGATGTGGAGGATGTGTTACTCTAAATTTTAGGTGCCAATTAAATTAGCCTACAATAGCGCTTCTAATTTAACAAAAGGGTAACAAGGTTGTGGCCCGCCTGAAAGGAATTGCCAGTGTGTTACCAGGGGGCTTGTGTCCAACCTGCAGAGGACTCCCCAGAGCAAACTAGTCTTGCTAACCCCTGAAAGGACACGGATACAGCCTTCCGCTCACGGATTGATGCAAGCAGAAATTCTTTTAAATCTAAATTATTTGTTTAACAGAATTTTTTTTTTTAAAAAAAAGTTTAATAAAGCAAGAAAAGATACATAGGATTTAATAAAACACAATAGAGTTATATTTAACAATTACACAATAAAGCAGTACAGCAAAATAAAAGACAGACTGCATAAAATACCTAACACCTATAGAGCAGAGGTTCTCAAACTGTGGTCCGTGAGCTCCATTCAGGTGGTCCACGGCTAATTCCCTCTAAGGTGCGTGCCTGGGCGCACACAAGAGAATGAAGGGCCACCCACCTAATTAGTGGAGCCGTGCAGGTGTGGTTCCACTAATTAGGTGCCTGTATCCTGGAGAAGACTCACATATAAGATGAGGTGGTGGCCTTGTGGGGAATAGGGGATAGGTAGGAGGGGACTGGGGTGAGAAGAGGGGGTGGGGGGAATTTGGGACGTGCAGGGCTGCAGTGGCCAGAGAAAGAGGTGACTTTCCCCATCTTCAGGACTGCAGCTGCCAGGGAGAGACGGCCCTCCTTCCCAGCCCCAGCTCAGGGGCTACTGCGGCAGCACAGTGGCTTCCCAGCCTAGTGACTGCTGTGGCAGGAGAGACCCTTCCCCTCCTTCCCAGCCCCAGCTTGGGGGCTGCCACGGCAGGGAAGAGAGGGCACATCCATCACATTAGAAAGGTAAGACTACTGATATTAAAATAAGTTATGTGCTTTTATTTGTAGAACAAAAATAAAGGGTTTTTTTATATAGCACTTTTATCCAAAGCGGCTTGCAATAGTTAGCTAACAGTACAAACAACATTTGGAAAGATGAGTAAGTGGGCTGTTGACACCCTCAGCAATTTTCAGGTTGTCTGCAAAAAAAAAAAAAAAAAAAAAACTTTGAGAACCACTGATATAGAGAATACAGTAGTTTCAATGTAACATGCATATAAAGATCCCACATTCAAAGGCTTTTAGTCTTAGTGTTAGTCTAATCCTGTACTTAATACAGTGTAGTATACATGGCCTCTATATACACATATGAAAAAGTCGTCATATTCACAGATTTAAAAAGAAAACATTTACTTAACACTAACACTTAATATTTAAACATACATCCTGTGAGCACTGGCCAAGCGGTCAGTGGGCAGGGGAGAGCTCATAATTCAGAAACAGGCATCAAACTTTATTAACACACCCACCCAGACACTCAAAGAAAATAATTTATAAAATTACTGTTACGCTTTCACACCAAAATCCCTCTGACTCATCTTAGGTCCTTCTGCTCTGTCAGTATAAAAGATGAAGATGTCTGCACCTGGAAGAAAGGATCTAGCTGATAATGACATTTTCCTCTGTCTTTATTTAAATGTATATCATAAGGCTGAATTGCACTGTTATTACAAATATATCCAATTCCCTGTTCTTCCATACAAGCCTCAAGTTCAACGATTTTCCATGCCTGATTTTGTTTTATGGCCCAGAGTTTGTGTTCTATTGGTTGCATCACACTGGTGTTGACATTTAACCCAAGTGATACAATAGGAGATATCCATTCAGTTTGGGCATCAGACATCATATATGCAGTTGCTTGGTTCAACTGAGCATTGTATGTGAAGTTTACCATCTTCCACCAAGAATTAAGGGTTTTTTTCAGCCTCAGTGGCATATTTCCACATTATGTTTCTTATTTCTAGAGGTAAAATTCAACTCATTCCATCTCCTATAATGTCTTGAAAACATTTTCCTCTTTCAACTACCAACATTTCAGTCTTCAGGCTTCTCTACATGTGAAAATTAATCCAGAATGCAGGAGGGTGTGAATGTAAAGCAGATTAACTATTCCTGATTAATTCTATGTGTGGAGGTTTTTATCCCAGAATAAGAGAGCCTTATTCCAAATTACATAAATCCAGTAAATTAACCTAATTTGGAATAAGAAATTCTTATTTTGGAATAAGTGTGTCCACCCATGGAGCTAGTCTGGAATAATTCCCCATGTAGACAAGTTTGAGCAAGCTGTCTTTGTCATGGAGCCAGTGTGTCATGTTAGTGGGGATAGCAGTTGAATCTGTAAACAATCAGAAATAAAGCTGGGTGTCTTGTGTATTTTTGGCAATGAAACCAATGTGTCGCAGCACCTCTCCAGGTGGTCTCCTGGATTCTGAAGAGGAGGGGGAACAGGATAGTTCCTTGTGGGAGCCCACAAGTGAAGACTTTTCTGGAAGAGGAACAGTTTCCCATCATTCCTCTAAGCCTGTTGGAAAAGAACGGTTGGAGCGCTATTGCTGTGATGTCTGGTTCAGCGATGTCTTGTAAGTGGTCAGCAATACCTTGCAGTTGACAGTCAAAAGTTGTGGAGAGGTCAGGTATTATGAGATTGGCCTCTCTTCATCCCTTAGTATTACTGGGGCTGTGTCCATGCCATGCCCTGGTCTGAAGTTGAATTGCAGGGCATCCAAGATGTCGGCAAAAGTCATACCTAGTTGAAACATGGCTACCAGTACTTTCTGAATGGTTTTGCATAAGCATTCGAGATTTTCCTCAGTCAAATGCTGGCTTTCTGAGAATCATGAACGTTGTCACAATTTTCAGTAGGATTTTCATTGACAATTACCGTTAGGAGTAGGAACAGTTTTCTTTATTGCCATTCCTCATCCCAGAGAGTTTCACCTGTTTCGCAGGTGATGTGTCAAATATTTCTCAGCATTTCTTCAGCTTCATTGTGTACCAAACACACACAAGTGGCAGGGTTGGTAATGTCATCTGATCTGCTATATAGTTTCCTTCCTATGTGCATTCATCTCATCTCTTTTGTGAAGCAGGAGGAAAGCTCTTCACAGCAGTGGTCAGTGGTTTGGTCCAATGTCAGGAGCTTCAGGTGCACAGTACCTCTTAAAAACAGGAACATAATTTTTTCCCCATATTTTTCAAAATCAATTTTATTTCATTTGCTTTCTGGGTTTGTACATTTTTATGTACAGAAATTTTAGATGCTTGTATGAGCAGTGTTCTACATTCAAATTGTATTGTTTTGTTATATCAAACTAAATCTTGTGTTCTGTAACTTCATAGCAGAAACTGTATTATGTTGCAGCAGTCCTCAGTCAATGACCATGGAGTCTCTCTAATTTTTTTAATTGGCAAATAAAATGTAATCTTTTCAGTTACTTCTGGTATCTTAGCTTCTCTTTATCTCGAACACTGCTGTCATCAGGGAACATCTCTTCCTCTGCAAAAGAATTGTGCTGGAAAAATAGGAAATCTCACTGCTAAGGATGAAATAAGGCATCTGCAGTGCTGGGTCCTGAACATGTACTACTAGAGATCAGAATAAACCTTAGTCCAACTGCTCTTTGAACTGAAAAATAGCTGCAATCAAAGGAAATGAAAAATCAAGATGTAGGAGAGAAGGAAAGGGTATAGGCAGGGAATTATGGGTGAAGGAAAATAAAACAATTTTCCCAAGTTAAATTAAGGACTAGTTTTGTATGTTTTTTAATTATTGTACTTAATGCCTAAGTACTACAGTGATTTTAGTAATATCTCTCATGTCTGAAAAATTGTACTGAATATCATACAAAAACAAGTAACCTGTGTGGTATTTCAGCATTTCACTTCCAAATGGAACCAGGAAGTGCAGAAGCATGGAGAACTGAAAAATAATTAGAAAACAGTAACTACACCTTATTTGAACTTCAACTGATGTTTGGTTCAAGTTATGGTGATGGTTTGGTCAGTTCATATTTTATGTAAATCAGTTAATACAGCCTTAAAGAAAATACAACCAAATTATAGTATCTTGTCACTGCTATTCCTTGCCTATCTTCCTATATAAACACAGTCATTTAGTGTTCATTAGCTATAAGCCTATTTGTTCACTCATTAAGATTCACCAGTCATTTCAAAAATAAGTGACTGATACATGCCATCTGGTGGTTTACCTGCATATGTACAGTTTAGAGTTCTACCATCATGCTCCTTTATTTTAGGAAATCTTTTCCCAGTGTTGTCGCTTTGATAACTAGCAGAACAACAGTAACATTTAAAAAGATGCTGAAAGGGAGCAAGCAGATCCCTCTGAAGAATGCATCAAAATAACATGAAAATGAAACTACATATGAAGTTAGAAATGTTGAGATTTGGCTAAATAGCTACAGAATGCATCTCTTTATTTTCAAACCATCTTATCACTCTGGTATCCAAGAGCATTTTCAGTGATTTGTTCTGAAAAATGAATATATGGTTCCTCAAGCTGCTCTTATTCATTGGCTGCCAACAACATGCCGGGGCTATTCCAGTAGTTTAGAGGTTAGCTTCCATACTGTGTGTAAGATTGCATGAGCAAGGGGGAAAATATTAAACAAGGTAGTAGAGAGTAAGGAAAAGGAGGGAAAAAAAATAGGAGAGGGCACAGAAAAGGCCATACTCTGCAGGGAGGGAAGCCTGCAGTTGAGGGCAAAAAAAGCAAAGTGGGGAACAATATGACAGACCACAAAATAGAAATGGGATAGGAGCAGGATTTACCTACCAAAGGGAAGGGAGGCAAAATGATTAATAAAAAATGATTCTGGTCTGTCGTCTGATTTCTGGACTCCTGCCCATCCTCAATGCATGTGCGACAATTTTAGGAGTTCAGAAATCAGACGATAGACCAGAATCATTTTTTATATTCATGATTTTCGGAGTCTGGTTCATGATTTTTAAACTTTTGAGGTCGGCAACGGTGATTAGTGTTGCTAAGTCTCACAATTTTATAGTGACAAAGACCATTTTAGTCCCCACTGTCAGAGCTTTTGCTAGAGGACCCAACTAAAATCAAGGCCCCATATGCTAGGCACTCTTCAGCCACATAATAAGAGAGGCTTGGTTTACATGGGGAGTTTAAACAGGACTAAATTGAGTTAATCTGATTTGAAAACACTTGTGTACACAGGCTGCAATTCATTATAGTGCACTGACCCTGCATTTATCACAAATTCTGGAGTCCTCTTTTGAAGTTATTAACTTTGCTACAAATCAAGTTAATTCAGTCTATTGTTCATGTGTAGGCAATGCTGCTGAAAACTGCTTTGACAGTCTTCCAATTCTTATCCTACCCTACTTTTCAAGTGATCATTATTGGCCTCTCTGTTTACCTACATGCCCTCCACTGTTCTGGGGTCAAGTTGACCAGATGTTCCTTCCCCTGTTTATAAGCTGGAGCACAGACAGATTTTGTCTATTGGCTCCTGGATTCCATTTTATCACAATAGCTATGGAAATATCCCAAAAGCTCACAATATGCCTTGAGCAGCTTCTTGGAACTGTGTTGAGACCCTGACCAAGACTGAGTAGGCAGATCCTATGAAGGGAATCTTGGCATGTAAGTCTTTTTTATAATTTAACATTTATATTTTAATGTATTATGTTATAGGGTTGTACTAGCTTCCGTTCGAGGTGCCCTATGGCTGCAGCCACTCTAGAGCGTTGTGAGCTAGAAGATTTTCTGAGTCCCAGGTCCCTGCCTTGCTCCCTCTATCAGCCTATGCTATCTATTTGTCCCTTGGTCTTCCACACACCTTTTCAAAATGGTGGATACTCTGGCCAAGTAATTGGCCTCTATCTCATGATGAAGCCCAGTTAGTGACCATTTTCAGGACCACACTCTGGAAGGCACATGCCTATGTATCTATTTTTACTTCCCCTTCCCTTTGCTTGGTAAATGATATCTTCCCCTCCCCCATTTGCCACCTCAAAATGGTGGCTGGCAGCAAACAGTTGCAGTTTTTATGCCCTCCCTCCCCAAGGGGATTCAAATAAGAAAAACATTCTTTTGTGACAAGTGTAATGTTTACTGAGGCAGTGGTTACAGAAAAAGAGCTTGGTTAGTGTTCTCACTTTACATGAGGTAGACATTGCATGCCTGTAAAAGCGACAAAGAGTACTGATCTCTTACAAATGCCCTGTAATGCTCATTCTAACAGACTGGTAACAGTGAATGCTTCAGGCAATCATTGCAGAACCCTATCCATTTTTCTCTGCACATTCAACATGTCTGTAGGGGAGATAAAGCAAAAGGTAAGGCTGAAAAATTGTTCAGAGATTATGAGGAAGAGCTGCATGGCCACCCACCCCCCTCTCCAGGGAAAGCTTGCAGTCAGGAGCTCCTCCTTCCACTCCTCAAGCACTTCTGGAGGAATCATCATGGTGAATAACTTCACAGCATCTCTCACTGGTCTGTCCTTTGCCTTTTAAAAAAGGTCACACTTTGCCTCCTACTCACCCGCCTCAGGGTAATGACAGCCTAAATGCTGGAGGGAGTACTATAGAACTCACCCCTTGATTCACCCCACTCGCTCTTCTGATATTATATATCAGAGGTGGGCAAACTACGACCCACGGGCCACATCCGGCCCACGGGACTGTCCTGCCTGGCCCTTGAGCTCCCGGCCAGGGAGTCTAGCCCCTGGCCCCTCCCCCCACTGTACCCCCTGTCATAAATATAAAGGGAAGGGTAAACCCCTTTGAAATCCCTCCTGGCCAGGGGAAATCTCCTCTCACCTGTAAAGGGTTAAGAAGCTAAAGGTAACCTCGCTGGCACCTGACCAAAATGACCAATGAGGAGACAAGATACTTTAAAAAGCTGGGAGGAGGGAGAGAAACAAAGGGTCTGTGTGTCTGTCTATATGCTGGTTTCTGCCGGGGATAGATCAGGAATGGAGTCTTAGAACTTTTAGTAAGTAATCTAGCTAGGTATGTGTTAGATTATGATTTCTTTAAATGGCTGAGAAAAGAATTGTGCTGAATAGAATAACTATTTCTGTCTGTGTATCTTTTTTGTAACTTAAGGTTTTGCCTAGAGGGGTTCTCTATGTTTTTGAATCTAATTACCCTGTAAGATATCTACCATCCTGATTTTACAGGGGGGATTTCTTTATTTCTATTTACTACTATTTTTATTAAAAGTCTTCTTGTAAGAAAACTGAATGGTCTTTCATTGTTCTCAGATCCAAGGGTTTGGGTCTGTGGTCACCTATGCAAATTGGTGAGGTTTTTTACCAAACCCTGTCCAGGAAGTGGGGTGCAAGGTTTTGGGAAGTATTTTGGGGGAAAAGACGTGTCCAAACAGCTCTTCCCCAGTAACCAGTATTAGTTTGGTGGTGGTAGCGGCCAATCCAAGGACAAAGGGTGGAATATTTTGTACCTTGGGGAAGTTTTGACCTAAGCTGGTAAAGATAAGCTTAGGAGGTTTTTCATGCAGGTCCCCACATCTGTACCCTAGAGTTCAGAGTGGGGGAGGAACCTTGACACCCCCTCTCCCACAGCCATGCCACTGCATGGGCAGCACAGCTTGCACCCGCCCACCTCCCAGGCTTTCCAATAAGCTAGTCCTGCTGCTCTGAGCCGCATGGTAAGGGGGCGGGGAGAGCAGGGAGCAGTTGGGTAAGGGGCAGGAGGTCTCGGGACGGACGGACGGACAGTCGGGGGCGGCTGGATGGGGCGGAGTTTTGGGGCTGGGAAGTCAGGGGATGGGGGGCAGGGAGGTTGGATGGGGGTGGGGTCCTGGGTTGCGGTTAGGGGCAGGAGGTACTGGGAGGGGGCAGTCAGGGGACAAGGAGCAGGGGGGGTTGGATGGGTTTGGGGTTCTGAGGGGGGCAGGAAGTGGGAAGGGGTAGATAGGGGCAGGGCCCAGGCTGTTCGGAGAGGCACAGACTTCCCTATCCAGCCCTCCATACAGTTTCACAATCTCGATGTGGCCCTCGGGCCAAAAAGTTTGCCCATCCCTGCTATATAAGCACCTCCAAGGCACAGAAAAACTGTGAAGGCAGACCAGGAACATATATCCCCTCCCCCCAAATCTCCAAGGTACAACTACAAAGCCAAACAGCACATACCGAATGGATAAAAATCTCAATTCACATACCACTTACCATCTCTGAGGTTCCCCCCCAGGCTGAGAAGAATCTCAGGGACGTAAAACCAGAAATGCATTTAAAAATATGCTATCAAAGCCACCCCCAAAATATGAACAACAACTGTCTTTTTGTTAATACCCCATCACTGCGGCACCTGTACTGGCCAGACCATTGAGGTCAGGGACTTTGTCAGTGACTGAGTACCTGGAGAGAAAACAGAAAAGTCATGATGAAATGTTCACAGGCATCATTACACAGTGCCCACTCAAAACAAATAAAAAAAAAAATGCAGAGGTGGAGGCAGTATCTGAGGACAGAGAGGCAATCTGACAAAGAGCTTTCCCGGGAAATCATTGCAGTGGAAAAGGACAGCGTGACAGTTGCCAGAGAAAGCACTGTCATGGCCAAAGACAGTATGAGAAAAGACAGGAAAATGCAGAGGCAACTCCTGGTGGCAATACAAAGCCAAAATGCCCTACAAGTTACTATTCCGAGATATGTTGCATGGGAATCTGTCAATTGTTTTGCCCATCCTTTGCAGCTAGCCATTAATGATGGGTTTTCTTCAAGTAGTGTGGATCGGCTATTGAAGCTGTAAGTAGACTAGTTGCACGTTTCCACCACAGCACTGTGACTGCAAAAGCACTCGAAAGAAAACAAACACAGCTTCAGGTTAAGCAACACCGTCTGATCCAATTGTATAAAACTCGCTGAAATTCGGTATATGACATGTTTTCAAGACTTGGTGAGCAAAGGTGGACTATAACAGCTGTGCTTTCAGATAGCTCGGCAACAAAACAATCTGATGCCTGAACGCTTCAGCTGCAAGATGAGCACTGGCAATTCATAGAGGATATCTTACCAGTACTTTCCACTTTAAAATGCACTACACCTGTCATGTCTGCTGAACAGTCAGTTTCAATTTCAAATATTTATCCAATTTGCAACAGTCTTCTCCAAACTCACCTCAGAAGCAAAGCTCCTGTCGAAAATGGAAAAGTTGCTGATTTCAAGGCTGCTGTTCGTCACTCTCTGGAGCATCAGATGAAAGCCAATGATCCTGCCAGGGCCGAAAAAAATGCATGAAACTCAGAAGAGTGCTGTAGTGATGCTTTTAGGTGAAGGTTACACCAAAAAGGAGAATGCAATAGAAAATGAACTGGAAAATTACTTCGGGGAGCCTTGTCCTTCATTGGAATGCAGTCCATTGGAGTGGTGAAAGGCTAATGCACAGTGTTTTCCAAGGCTTGGAAAACTGGCAAACAGTTACCTGTGCATTCCAGGAACATCTGTGCCTGCAGAATGTGTGTTTTTCAATGCTGGCCTTACTGTTAATCTGCTGTGCACAAGACTGAAACCAGAGCATGTAAACATGATAATTTTTCTTAACAAAAAATCAGCAGTAGAGTTGAAATTCTAATCTGTTTTTTTGTGTTTTTGGACGTCTCGTGGATATTATGTAAAAAGTTAAACCAAAAAGTGGGTTTTAGTTTTACACATAAGACTGGCTGTTTTTGTTGTTAATAAAAGCACTTGACAAAGATAATATATATGTGTGGTAGATTCACTGTGAACCAGTGACACAGGAACATTTTTTAACAGTGGTGGTGCTGAAAGCCAGCCCCCTCCTTACCCCTGCCCACCCCCCACCCATTTCCGGGAGGGGGGACATGGACAGGGGCCAGGAGCGCAGGGTTAGATGTCTAATTGCAGTGATTCTTATATCCATAGTATTGACTGCTTACTGTATTTGGAGCAGGAAAACAAAGATATATTGGTAGGACCTTTGGAGTATTTTCACCATCTAAAAGAAGAGTAACCAGAGATCACAAGATCAATTTCCTGCCATTACAAGATGAAGACTCTGGTCACTTGTGCTTCTTGGTTTCTCTAAAATCCCCACAAGTTAGGATCCCATAATCTTCACCAATAAGTAATATATCTGAATTGACAAAATATATGACATATAATGGATCCGGTAGGGCAGGCAGCAGAGCATGGGGCCCGGGTGGCAATGGGGCTGGCAGTTGGGAGGAAACTGGGAGCGAGGCCAGTAGCCAGGATGCTTGGTGCACTGGTATGCCAGGCGGCAGTAGAGGCGCAGGGGCAGGCAGCAGCAGAGCCCCGCTGGGGCAGGCAGCCAGGATGGACACCGGGTGGCAGCAGGTCGGAAGCCAGGACAGATCCCAGGCCACACCAGGATGCTGGGTGGCAGCAGGGAGGGTGGTGCAGGGCTGGCAGCCAGGACCCTGGGTGGAGTTTAATCATTAACCAGTTAAACTCTTACATCTCTAATCTGTGTGGTTTGTGGGTTTTGGTTTTTTTTGACTTGATTACTGTACACTGATCTGCAGTTGAAAATCTCCGAGATCAAACCAAGGAACCAGAAATCGTGTGCTAGCAAATAGGCTCACCCTACTCCCGTAGACAAAGGTGAGTCAATATGTGTTCTTTATGTTCAATTTCATTCAGTAGTAGAGTGCTACTACTCTACTACTGTGCTATGTATGTTGCTTTTTGTCATAAGCAATACATCATGTTGACAAAGAACAAAAATTCTCTTGTTCTGTGCAAAAGTACTCTTTCTTAGGAAGAGGAGGGCCCATACGGGGCATGAATCTCCAAAGGTAGGTGCATTAAAAAAAAAAAAAGTTTAGTAATTTTAAATATATACTTGTTACAAAAAATAAATTGGAAAGTGCTCAAAAGTTGGCAAATGGCATAACTAACGCTAGCTGTGCAGCCTTAATTCCGAACCCTTGTCTGAAACATAAGCATTATGATACTATTTTTAATTACCTGCTCACCCACATCGATCTTCAGCAGGGTTTGAACCCAGGACTTTTACTAGCAGTTGTCTTCCACGGGCCCCAGCCAGTAAAGGACAGTGAGAGCCCATGGGCTATGCAACTCTTTACTAGTAGCGGATTCCAGTGGCTGGGGCAGTGTTCTGCGCCCATCTCTGCCTGCGGCCACCGGGCCTATCTCTCGGGGACGGTGCGAGCCCTGATGGGGCAACGGGGTGGGGGGAGTTCAAACGGTGCCTAACCGGCTCCCATCCAGTCACGGTCCTGAGCGCCGTGCCCCAGCTCCCTTCCTGGCTCTACAAGGACCTGCCCACCTCAGTGTTCCCCCTCCTGACTGAGAAGACTCCGCCTCTCCCGGCAGGCTCCTGAGCGTCACAGGCTGGCCCGCCCCAAACCCCGGGCAGGGGTGGCCCGACGCCAACGGGAGGGAGGAGCCTCAAAGCCGCGTCCAGCATTCTCACCCACCTTCCCGCCGCTTTTGAAATGTAACCGCCGCTTCCCCAATGCAAAGCCTGAGCCATGAGGTATTCTGGGTAAAATCGGCAGCAGCACACGTCAACCAAACTACGAAGAAGGCGGGGACTCCCCTGTGGTTGGCAAGCATTTCAACCAATAAGAGAGTAACTCAGGGAGGTGGATGGGAGGAAGTTGTTGCTCAACCACTTAAATTAGCGGTAGCAAGAAGCCTGGCGATTGGTGCCTGGATTGTATCGCGTTTCCAAGGGGAAGCTGGAGCGGCGGCGGCGCCGGGGACAGCAGGGGAAGTCCAGTGCGGCTCAGCCCGGTCCGTCCGGGGGTTGGGGACGCGACCATGAGTTTGGCCTTGAGGTCGGTATGGATGGAGCGAGGCGCCGGGGTCTGAACCTAGGCTGTGACCCCGCGGGGACCGAGCGTGCTTGCCGAGGCCGCTCCCTTCAAGGGCTACTACCCCAGAGGGCGGGCCCGGGCTTGGGGCCGGGGCAGAGAGAGTGGGGGCGGGGAGGAAGGTCCGGCGTTGCTCAGTGGCTGGGGCGGCTCGGGGCCCCCGCCCAGCGCTGGGGCTTTGGAGGCAGCTTGGGGCCCATGTATCCCAGCTCTTCGCTTTGCCGCCAGTAGCTGCCTGCCGCAACCTACCCTTGTGTCAGGGCCCTTCCCCTCCGGCAAGACACGGGTTTAGCACTTAGCAGGACTCCTGCCCGCTTCGAGGAAGCAAAAAGGCCCGGTGTCCTGCAGGATGCCGAGCGGAGGCGCGAGGCCCTGGGGAGCGTCTGGCACAGAGCATCGCAGCAGCCCCTCGGTGACCTACAGCCCTCCTGCACGCTGACTGTGTCCGTCTCCCCGGTCTACATGTGACGGGAGCCCTCACCGAGCAATAGTCATTAGGATTAGCTAAAGTATTTAGCCGCTCTGGGTGATCCTTCCACAGGCTCAGTGCGGACCCCTTGGACAGATGGGGCTTTAACGCTTTGGTTAATCTGTACTGACTGTTCTTTAGTAAGGGCTGTTGCCATGTGTATGTGCGAGACCCTTAAAGTTCAGGGATTTTTTTGGATCAGTTTTACTTCAGAAATGTCGTTGTTAAAACAGACCTTTAGTTTTAAATAATCATAACTTTGCAATAGCTTTCAATAAGTTTGTTTTGCTTGTGAGAGCAGCTAGAGCATCAAAAATAAATAAGATTTCAGAATCTAGTGTTAGGTATCATCTTTCCTGTTGCATGTTGCATACTATCAGTACAGTAAATAATGGTATACATGTGACCAGAGCTTTGTAAAGCACATATCTGGCCAAATCCTGCTTTCTGTCTGTATAAACTAATACATTGAAAACCAGGTGCATCAATCTTCAGATATACTGACAAGTTTCAGAGTAGCAGCTGTGTTAGTCTGTACCCGCAAAAAGAAAAGGAGTACTTTTCGCAACTTAGAGACTAACCAATTTATCTGTGCATAAGCTTTCGTGAGCTACAGCTCACTTCATCGAAAGCTTATGCTCAAATAAATTGGTTCGTCTCTAAGGTGCCACAAGTACTCCTTTTCTTTTTGTCAGATATACTGAGTATGTACTTGGTGCACCTCCAGAATGGGAGGGGAAGGTGGCTCTAGTAATTTATTATTTGCATTTCAGTATTGTACTAAGGCCCTTTTCAGGATCAAATTTCCATTGTGCTAAGCATTAAACAAACACTTGGGTAGACACAGTACTGTCTCCAAAGAGCTTAAAAGGTATCTAATTAATTTAAGATTTTTTTAAAATGTGAACTTCATCCCTACAGCTGAAGAAGTGGGTGAAGTTGGAACAATTTCTCAAGATTCATGGTGGATATTTCATCACTGACAAACTTTAAATCAAGTGTGGATCTAAGAATTACTTTGTGAAAGTTCTATGGCTTGTGATAATACAAGATGTCAGACTAAATGATCACAGTGGTCCCTTTTGGTCTAAGAGTAGAATCAATGAAGGTGGATCTAAACTACTTTTCCAAGTCCTCATTCTGTAGCTAACTAAGGGCTGTTTTAGCCCTTTCATAAATTACAGAGGCTAGAATACACATAATTTCAATGGCTGGAGTGGTCCCCTACATAAACTCTTCATCAGCTAGTGATAACAAGAGTGCAAGGTGGGTTCAGCTGGTGCAAGCCTTAGTTTTTCTTTTATACACTTTGTTTGCACTGGTACAGCTACGCCACTGGCTGGTTGCTGATGACTGAGTCCCAAGTATAAATGCTTTGAGTTAGGGACTTCTTGGCATTATACAACAGCACAAACCCAATGGGATTCTCGTGCGAAATGGGCTCCTAGATATTACTGCAATACATGTAATATATATAATTATAATAGAAGAGGTCTAGCGTTTCGGTGAGAGTATAAGGTCACCATGGAAGAAAGCATGGAGATGTTTGTGTGAGAAGCAAAGAGTTGTCTAGGCTGGTGTTACTGACGAAGTAAATGGGGTGAGGAAAGATGAAGGCAAGCAATTTCTGATAGGGTACTCTGTCATCCATCAGAATTTTCTGCCCTTTTTCCAGGGGATGAAGAGAAGCAATTTATGTAAGAGTATGCAGTAAACAAATACCCAGTAAACACCCATCACAGACAACTGTCCACCTACTCATTCAGTAACAGTCCTCTAGCACAAGGGTTCTCAAACTGGGGGTCAGGACCCCTTAGGGGGCCATGAGGTTATTACATGGGGAGTCACGAGCTGTCAGCCTCCACCCAAACCCCACTTTGCATCCAGCATTTATAATGGTGTTAAAAATATTAATAAGTGTTCTTAATTTTTAAACGTGGGGGGGGGGGTCACACTCAGAGGCTTGCTATGTGAAAGGGGCAGTAGTACAAAAGTTTGAGAACCACTGCTCTAGCATCATGTCGGTAGCCCTCCTTGAGCAACCACCAGTGCATGCACACGCGTGCATCCCAACACCAGCCAGTCCTCACAGCCAACTCCCCCTGCAAAGAAACACCTCACATGCAGCAACAACCTGAGTGAATACTCTCATCTGCAATCCAGCACTCTTACTGCAAGCTAACACCTTTATGCTGAACAGACACCTTCAATGCACATCCATGTCTCCAATAACACCCCAGTGAGTTTGTGTATATACAGAGAATAACAATATCTTATAGCTTGAAGACTGCCAAAGCAAACATCCCCGTGCACAACCTGACATTCCCACTCTAAACAGATACTCTCCAAGCAAATTTCCCTGGGGTCATTCATCAATATCTTCAAACTGCACTCAGTTCCCCTTAGCAAACAATCCTCTATATCTAAACACCTGCACCCCTTATCCTGAATCAACACCTCTTCCCTTTAACAAATATTCTTGTGAATGCACTATACGATAATCACTAGGGATCTATCTACACACTCCCATAATCCTTTATCATCCAAATAGCCTTACTACTCTAGCACACACATCCCCAGCATACAACAACCACTCCTTGCACATGCACCATCTGACTCTTTATGCACATCTTGTGTGCACATGCTTCCAGTTCCATGCTATTGATGCTTCAGCAATAGCCACCAGCCACTGTCATGTTCACAACATCCACGCAGCTCTCACTCCCTACATGCATGCCATACAATGTATTGTATTCATATTTCTCAAGAACTTCATCTTGTCTCACATGCCAAGAGAAAGAGAGATGTACTTGCACAATATTTGCAAATATTTTCTTTAAAAATGTGCAGGGGAGCAGAAAAAGCCTTAATGTGTGAGTTTTAAAGGTTTTTTTTTTTAAATAAATCTTTTGTACATGTTGTTTATCTAAAGAGTACTCTATTAGAAATTTGAATTTATAGATACTAACTACTAGCATTCTCACCCCTGGACCTCAGCTTGCTAGTGCAAGGCCTTGTTTACAATAAAATATATTTCCTAAAATTTCCCACCATTGTTACTGGCACCATCATCTCGGCTCTGTATGTGGTAGTGATTTGGGGAGAAGTCATGTAGGCAAAGCGCTGATAGCTGTCTGCACTGCTGTCTAAACTTGTGCTCCCATCATTGCTACCTCTTAGGGAACTGAACAGAAGGTAGCAACAGTGGAAAATATTTAGGAACCATTTTCTAGCATAAGCAGGGCTTGAAGGTTTTTGGCCATTAAGGATAGCTCTAGTGGCCAGAGGTTGTATGCTGTTTGAGCCTACATTTGCAGCCCATCAAAATGTTCCAATCACTTCATTTTTGACCACAGTTAGCAAATAAGCTTTCCTCATGGGCTGCATCATTTCAGTTGCCACTCCATCTCTCCACTTCAGTTCATTTGTGTGTTGTTTCAGGAATCCTTTTATTTCTGTTTTTTCTTTTCTGTGATTTTCATCATATAGTGGCTTTCTCCTGATGTTTGTAGGAGTGTTTGTATGTTCAGAAAAAGGGGTGCTTTTTTTGCAAGTTTTTGGAGTTTTTGGTCATGCTTAGAAGCTACCTTAATTTACTTTGAGACTTTGGCCGCCTTGATTTTTTTTTTTTCTAGGATGTCCTCAGCACTGTGTCTAAAGATATCTTTTTGGCATTATTATTTATAGTGCAGTGGGATCTTAGATGCTCCAGCTAAGATAGGGGTCCCGTTGTGCTGGGCACTGTACAACCGTGTACATAGAGAGAGAGCACTCATCCCTGCTTTGGAGGGAAATGACAGACAAAAGGTGGGAGGAAAAAATGCACACAAAGGTAGAGTGACTTGTTGAAGCTTACACAGCAGGTTAATAGTTAGAGGCAGGATTTGAATCTGGGTTTTCTGATAGTCAGGCCACTGCCCTATCACCTAGACCAAATGCTGCCTCTGTGCTTTGATTTTACATAAGGTACCTTAAAAGTGTTATGATCCTTCAGCAACTTTACTTGAGGTCCCTTAGTACTCTGTTAGCAGCTTTTAGGTGCAGCAGTTAGGTGCATTGTCTTGTTTTCAGCTATTGCTTAATGCCATTTGGGCTTTCTGTTTTGAGGTGTCCGAGTGGTACTGTATCATATAGACTCTGTCAGCTGCTTTTGATGCCATTGACCATGAGATATTGACCAGTTTGTGAACCCTAGCTGGAGGGAGTGGGGATGGAGTCTCTCTGGATAGGCTCCAGTCTTTTCTTGTGAGACATCTCGGCTGATAGTTTTGAGAAATTGCTTGTATTACTTGTAGGGGCACATAAGAATGTCATCCCTTTTTTCACGTGGCTTTGAGACTACAAGGATTGGTGAGTAGCGATGGGCTATGCTGATGAGATCCACCTCTGTGTATCCTTATGCCCTTTCCTTATGCCAGTATAGTGGAACAAATAACCCATTTTCTTCTTGAGGTGAAGCTTTAACAAGACCTAACTGGCTGAAAACAGGAAAGTTTGAAGTAACATTGGAAAGTCGGGGGTTACAACCTGAAGAGTTTAAAGAGCGTTTTTTGTGGGTTTTTTTGGTCTGCATCCTTATTTGAGCGAATGGGCTGCCTTTGGTAATGTATTTGTAGTTCAGGCATCTTAGTTCCTGGCCTTCTCCCAGATATTTAGGAAGTAACTGTGGCTCGTAGTTGTTTTTTTGTTTTTTTTTTTCCACGTTGGCTGCTTTTGTCACCACAAGACTATACTACTGTAATACACTCTACTAGCTATTGAAACCATTACAAAGCTGAAGCTAATGCAGAGTGGGTTTAATCTGCATATAGTTTTTCAGCTTGCGCTTATGAAACATGCTCCATTTTCACTATCTGCTTGTTGCCTTTCCAGCAGACTTTAGGATTTTAAAGTTTTAACCTGTAAATTGCTAAATTTATGCATTTCTGTAGAGCATTGTTTGCTGTTGTGGAGCATTGTACAAGTGAAGTTTTATGGCACTTTGTTTACTAATGATATTGTAATTTAAATAGCTGTAAGGGCACCCAGAGTGTAGGTATCTTTTATAAATCTAAATAAATAAAAGAATTGGTTTGAGATCTTGTTACCTGAGAAACTGCCCCTCCAGCTGTGTGAAAACACATTTATGATCACGTGAGGCACTCCTGGTTTAAATGGGAGGGGCTACTGACAGGGCATTTTCCACGAGGGGTATTCCGATTTGGAGTTCACCGTCCCACTTGGTTTGCCAGATTTATCAGTACTCCAGACACTTAGTGAAACCTTCCTGGTTTATTTCTCTTGGGCATTTGGGGAGGAGTTGAAATGAGGGATTTGGGGTGGTCAGATGTGGAGTGATTATGATTATTATTGTGTTGGTGGGAAAAGTTATATGGAACTGTATAGGCAAATCATTAGATATGTGGATTTTGATACTGTGTGTATTTAATTAAAGTTAGCGTGCCTAGAGGTATGTCTTACAACTCTGTATAAATAAATAATCCTGGCTGTGCCACAGAGTCCCTCTTTGGATTTGGGCAAGTCACCTGAACCTTTCTTCCTCATTTTTCTTCTTGTGCAAAATGGGTAGAATATCTACCTACCTCCCAGATATGTTGTTGTATTGTTTACATTTGTAAAGTGCTTTGAAGATGATAAATCCTATTATCATTATTATTATGAGCTTATTTTCTTTTAACTTGTAGGAATGATCTTGCAGTAGACAAAACCAAAAGGAAGAAAAGAAGAGAATTGACTGAAGAACAGAAGCAAGAAATTAAAGATGCTTTTGAGTTGTTTGACACAGACAAAGATAAAGCAATAGATTATCACGAATTAAAGGTAACTTTTGTTTTTTCACTTAACTTTTGATCGGCTATATTTCTAAAAGAGCTCAGCCCACATTTAGACACGTAAATAAATTGGCCTTATTTTCAGGAGTGTTCAGCATCCAAGAGCTCCTGCATTGGTGAAGGAGTGGTTATATTTCAAAAGTGGCAGGGTTTTGAATCGGAGTCCCAAATATTCATGCACAAAACCCACCCGTATGAGTGGTATAGTAACATCTGCATTCTGGGTACCAGGGGTCTGAGCTCCAACCTTTTCACTGACAACTGAAGCACTAAGGGTGGCAGAGTTGAGATTTCCCCCTCAGCAGGGACTGTTGCAGTACAGTTGCAGATCTGGGCTCTCTAGTTTGAGTAGAACAGGAAGTGGGAGAGGCTATTGAAAAGCACCCTGATTTCCATAATCACACAATACATTGAGAGCTTTGGCTGTGTTGTGGAAATCCATTGATTTTGAGGAACTTTTTTACATAAAAGATGAAAATTAAATTTATTAAACTGTGGACTAGGGAACTAGGATTTACTAACTGGTACCTCTTAACAGGGAACCTGTTGACCCATGGGACTCAAATTTGGTGTTCCAAACTTATGTAAGGGTCTTTGGAATCTCTCTCTATTCCCCGTTTTGCTGCAGGCCTCCATCCTGATGGTCATCACTTCAACCAGGAGAGGCTTGGAGTTGCAGCCTCCCAGCCAGTCCCCCTTGCTGGAGATCTATAGGGCTGATACATGGAGCTTGGTGCACATCTGTATGAATCAGTATTCTCTTGATACTGCATCATGTTTTCTGGAGGGCAGTGCTTCTCTCATTATGTAACTAGTAAGGCTTCTCTGGGAGGAAATAGCTAGCCTCATACAGTGGCTTTGTGAAGGCAATGCTAGAAGGAAGAAAAGAGGGTTATTTATTTTGTAACTCCTGTTCTATAAATGTCTTACCTCTTTAGAGCCATGCTAACTCCCTCCAACCATTTGTTTCAAAACTCAGCTACTTTAGGTCTTCTGAAGGTGGAGGAGAACTGGGGACTTTTGGGGGAGGGGGGCGGGGAGGACGTTTTTATAGCTTTGGCCAGTATAGTTGTATCCCCATCTGTCATTATTGTATAAAAGGTTCAGTAGCTGTATGATTAAGTATGTGACTCCTACACTGTGGTTCTGAGGATGAGACAGTTGGAGAACAGAGGCATATAAGACAGAGTAACTCCCTTTCCTGTATAACCTTATCTGCAGTGGAATTTGGATGTATATAGTGGGAATGGATTTGACAAGTGTGATTTAGAGTGAATGCCAAGGTTCTTAATTTAGCTGTAGAAGGGTAACTACAAATGTTCACAGTTGAAATAAAGAACACAGTTCTTCTGTAAAATTTATAGCTTTATGTAACATTTCCCTCTTAAAAGGATTGAGAGTTGTTTTTTGTAAATTAAGGAAAAAATCTGCTTGCCCACTAGAAGTATTTGGCACATCTTATAAAATCTTGGAAAGCATGAAATTTTACATGTCTTGATTTCACTTTGTGGCCTTTTTATAAATGCTGTTCTACTTTTGAGACAACTCTTTGTAACCAAAGATGGTTTATTCATGATTGTATGTATTAAAGTGTTCCTTTCTCCAGTTACCAACATTTTATCTTGGATAATAAGGTACTAACTTAGGTAAAAAGAGAAGCTATCTGATCTATATTTTGAAGGTGGTATATTGTTGTACTTCTGTTTTATTCCAAAAGGTGGCAATGAGAGCCTTGGGTTTTGATGTAAAAAAAGCTGATGTGCTAAAAATACTTAAAGATTATGATAGAGATGCAACAGGCAAAATCACCTTTGAAGATTTTAATGAAGTTGGTATGTATATGATTTTAAGTACATATTGAAAGGTTGGGGTTTTTTTTCGTCTGCTGCTGCCTGATTGCATACTTTTAGTTCCAAATGAGGTGTGTAGTTGACCAGTCAGTTTGTAACTCTTGTGTTCAGTGCTATCATTGCAGTTGATTCGAGACGGGTGGAAAGAGATCTTAACAGAAGATGTTCAGTTTAATAGACTTTGACCCTAGGTTCCCCCATCTACCAAAAGGAAATGTTAAAAAAACACTTTATTGTGCGGGTGCATACTTTCTCTCTCCCTCCCTCCTCTCTCTGCTATGGTTTTGGGGCTTTTTGCATTTTTCTTAACTTAGCTAAATTGATTCAGGCCTCCCTACTCTTTATACTGTATCTACCTATGAGAAGTGATTTTTCTGGAGGAAGTACTTTTTGTCTGATTGACAGGTGCTGCTTCTGGTGAGATGGAATTTCTCTTTTCTTATGTATATGCTTTCTGTTTTTCCCCTCTTATCCCTTATGTTCAACCAATTTCTATTCTTCTGTCCCTATTCCTGCTTTGAGTGGCCATGAGGCAGCTCAGCTGGACAGAAACACATACAAAGTAGGAAGGTGATACTCTTGTCTGAACTCCTCTCCAAACTTTGAGTCAGTTTCAGCTCTGGTGAAAATGACTTGGCTCTTTCTCCTTTACTGGTGTGGGATACTTCATCTAGCTGAACGAACTGGAATGACTGGAGGAATGTGAGATACAGGAATATACAGCACAGTAAAATTACTTGAGCCACATTTTGTTTTCTTTGATCTAAATCAGAAGGGAAGAAATACACTTTAATAATCTTCACTACTATACCACAAGTTGTTTATTAGCTTAAACATAGGAATGAACCACATAAAAACAAAATGAATAAACTATTATATATTTTGTTTTGGTTTATAAAGTCAAGAACCCTCTTCAAATTTACATGTATTTTGAATCTTCCGTCTTTTAGGATATGTTTCAATTAGCTTTTTGGAGTGCTCTTTGGATAAGTAAATCTAAAGGACAACTAAGATGATTCAAATAATGTAATGCCTCTATACATACATAATTATTTTAAAGCTAAATCAATAATCTCAAATTTTGCAGCAGAGCCACAATAAATTTGTGAGCTTAGATCTAACTTTTTCCTGTCAAGTTCACAAAACCAGACAGTTCATTCCACCTACAAACAATAGCAAGTTCTAAATGGTTCTGTAAGCCCTAGCAGCGGGGAAGTATTTTTATAATGGCTTGGTGAAAGTTATAAATAGCAAGTCCTGTAATACAAGACTTAGCAGGTACAAAGAGCATGAAGATATTTTCTCTCTTGGTTCCAGAAATGGGTGAAGCAATTACTAGCAAAATATTTTGATGCAACAGATTATTTTGTCTTGCTTTCCTCTGCTATAGGACTGACAAATGGATGTGATAAAAAGAATAATCAAGATTGATTAAGCCTTCCTGGATTAGTGTCTTGCTTTATATAGTAAAAGCCTCTTCAATGCCCTGGGAGGTCGGGGCTTTTTTCGTAGATTACAAAGCCATAAGGGACCATCGTGATCATCTGGTCTGACCTTGTATATAACACAGGCCACAGGACTTCCCTGACTTTATTCCTGTTTGAACTAGAGCATATCTTTTAGAAAAACATCAAATCTTCATTTAAAAATTTCCAGTGATGGAAGTGCCCTAACCTGTGGTAACTTGTTCAAATGGTTAATTACCCTCACTGTTTTATTCTTGTTGCAGTTTGTATCATACCTCTCTTTTAAATACCCATGCTTTTTAGTGCCCAACTGCTTCTCTCTCAGTATCAAGAGGATTCCACAAAATTTAGAAGCAACAGAGTCACATCTATACATCCTATATAGTAGAGCTTTTCCCAGAGCACCAGTTTGAAAGAGACTATGGCTGTGTACACTTAGCCTCCTACAGACTGGTGCTGTGGGAAAGGTCTACGTATCAAAGCACAAATGAGGTAAACTGCTTTTCAATCTCTCTTGTAGTTGGACATGCCACAAACAGATATACAAGGGAAATAGAAGGAAATAAGATAAACAAATAAATAAATGAGGCATAAGCATATTGAATTGAACTGAACTAGAAAAATGCAGGAGTGAAAGTGTAAAATGCTATTAAAAAGTATATGTCCAATGACTCTCCACCTTCAACTTTTATATTTCTATTTATATTGTCTTCCTGAGTTTACAACTCTTCTTCACTCCCTGAATATTTATAAGCATATAAATAAGAAAATCACTGTGGATCATTCTTGTCTATCTAAGCTAGGTATTTATACCATGCTCCTCGTGTTGGTGTCTGAGCATCTTCTTAATAGCTGGATTTTTCCTGAACTGTTGATACTTCTAGGTCAGGGGCTTCCTCTAGTCCAGAAGTTCTCAAACTGTGGGTCGGGACCCCAAAGTGGGTCCCAACCCCATTCTCATAGGTTCAGCAAGGCTGACTTAGACATGCTGGGGCCTAGGGCTGAAGCCCTTGGCGGTGGGGCTCCAGTCACAGGCCACCCCACCTGGAGCAGTGGGGCTCGGGATTTGCCCCACCAGCACCACCTGGGGCAGTGGGGCTTGGGCGGCTCCAGCATCAGTCCCCGCTTCTGGGGTCATGTAGTAATTTTTATTGTCGGAAGGGGGTCACGGTGCAATGACGTTTGAAAAGCCCTGCTCTAGTCTATAAAATATGTCCTGAAAATGTAGGTATTGGGAAGTGACAATGATTAGCCACTTTTGCTAGAAAAAGTAGAAAGAGAGGCATATTCAGAGTGGTTCCCTGAAGCATCCTTTCTAAGAATGTACCATGTCACTTGTTGTCAAATCTGAAGTGCACAATGCTGAAGAGACTTGGCTTAGCTGTCCTCTGAAACTATTGGCTAAGTTTCCTCTTCCAAACTGATCCTTTTTTTTTTTTTTTTTTTTTTGCTTTGAAAATGCTGCACTAGCCATGCAGTGCCCCAACTGGTGCCTTTGATTGTAATACAGCAAACATTTAACATCCAAATCAGACATCTTGTCTTCACAGGAGATGGTGTTTGAAGACTGCCTTCCTTTCTGGCCCAATCCTAAAATTTAGTGTTGATGCTAAAACTGAATGGAAGACATGAAACAAAGATGAGTCTGGGGTATTCAACAGATCTTAACTTAGTTTTTGTGCTGTTGCACAGTTCCTATTATAACTAACTAGAAATACCAATGTTTAAGACTTTAATAGTCAATTAAAAGTGCCTGATTGAAAGCTAAGAGGAATCTGAATAGGTGAAATAACTTTAGAAATCAGAAGCTTAGGAAAAAAGGACTAACTGAACTTAGAAAGTAGAGCTGGGACACTGTGAAATTGCCATATTTGAAATAAATGGTATCTTATTTTCCCTATATTAGTGACAGACTGGATATTGGACCGAGATCCACAAGAAGAGATACTCAAAGCATTCAAATTATTTGATGATGATGACTCAGGTAAAATAAGCTTGAGAAACCTGCGCCGTGTTGCTAGAGAACTAGGTGAAAACATGTCTGATGAAGAACTACGGGCTATGATTGAAGAATTTGATAAAGATGGAGATGGAGAAAGTAAGTATTGAACTGAAGAAAACAAAACTCATCTTGCCTTGTTTTAATTTGTCTTGTTGTTTTTGTCCCAATCTTAACTTAAAATGTGGTTCTGGTCTGAGAAGTGACTGTAAAATGGTCAGTGTTAAATTCTTTGTTTGCCTTTTAATGACTTTCAGAACAAATTTGCTCAATTGACAAAATAAGAGATTGATTAGTATTATTTATTTACTCATTTCTAACTCAGCAAACACATCTTGGGACCTGAAAGTTAATTTGGGTTCTTTCTTGTTTGAATATGATTACTGGTAACTCCAATACAACTAAGGTATGTTAGAGTCTAGTTAAGGTACAGTTGAAGCTGAAAGTAATTGAGTCAAACATGGCACTTCATTATGCCATTTCTAGAATTGAACTACACTGCAGTCATTTCCACACAAATCAAGAAATACTTAATTGAATTATTGAATATGGTGAAATTGATAAATCCCAAAGGAAAACCACAAAGGATGTCCCTGAAGAGACCATCGATAGTATTAATTGCTATATCTATTGGCAACTAAGGAGTTAGTGAAGGACTGTTAGTTAACTATCTCAGGCCTAAACAGGCCATATGTGAACATATCACATGGCTACCACTGCTAGGAAACAAGTGATGATGATGGTAGGTAGTTTTCATCATCAGTTAGAATGCTTGGTATTCTAATCAGATACTTTCTTTTGGGAATATCTTCATCTTTAAACAGGGTGACTAATAAAAAAAAATCCTTTGAGGTCCTTCAAGTTTAAGTGAATTTAGTATTCAAAAATTGCTACGTTAATAGGGCTGTAGGCTGAAATCCTCAAATTATCCTCAGAATAGGTACAGCACACACAGCCGTAAGTGCAAGCCTCCTTCTTTCTTCCTCTCCCCCTCCCTCCCCCTGCATCTTCACAGTTGACCTCAATGTTCTTTTGAAAAGAGGATTTCTAAGGTTGAGAGAGTAGTTCAGTCTGCAAGCATATTAAGTCCTTGACCTCTTTGCTGACATTGCCAACAAGGGTGCCAGTTGTGATGGTAACTTTTGTTATGTGGACACCTTGTAAGTAGGAATTGAATAGAGACCACCAATTTATTTCACAAAGATTACTGAGTTGCAACTACTTTGGGTCACTGCTGACATTTCTGAATTCAAAACAATGACCAAGCAGTGAAAGTCTCCATTTCCTATTATCCACAGAACCATACATTCTTCTCATTAGATATTCAAGTACAGGAATGTATGTGGGAGATTGACAGCATAATATTTATCTATGACATTGTTTATCTCTAAGGTTTTATGTTTCTTCCAGTTCTCTAAAGCAAACTGATGCTGTTTCTTGCACTTAAATTTTTATTTTTTAAGAATTAATCTTTATGAATCATTGTTCTGTTTGGCTCCAAACATCTGGGCTGTATAACAAAATCTTTGTCGTCTTTACTGCAACTCTCCCTGCTGAAATATATCTAAAACTGACAACTAGTATCATTTTAAAAATATACTATAAATATAGAAATAACACCTCTTGTTCTAGCACAAAACAATACCTTTTTTACATAACTTCTTGTAAAAAAAGGTATTGTTTTGTGCTAGAACAAAGGTCCACTTACAGCAAGTGCTAGTTTGTCCCCTTTCCCGTCCATTAGCAGAGGCTACTCAAATCTACTGGTTCTGTCCTTGGAGAGCAGAAATGGCAGTTGAAGTGCAGCTCCAGGGCATCATTCTCTCCTCTCTAACAGCTTCTGTGCTGGAGCTTCATGAGATCAGGTTTCTGTGGTATTTTGGGACCATGAGTGGAACAGCATATGAAACCCACGACTTCTAACTACACTAAATCACAACTTAATACTGCTTCAAGCAGCATTCAGTCTCCTGTAGCCGCTCAGTGGCTTCTAGTGCACAAATACGTTTAATAGTAATGTGCTGAGCATAAGCTCCAGCAGAGAAGTAAAGGAGAAAATTCTCCATACGTTTGCCTCTGCATCCGCTTCAGCCCCAGGAAAGGGGTGTGTAACTTTAGCCCCATTGCTCAGGGCTGAAGCCCTTGGGCTTGGGCTTTGGCCCTGGGCCCCAGCAAGTCTAAGCCAGCTGTGGTGACACCATTAAAATGGGGTTGCGACCCCCCCTTTGGGGTCTCAACCCACAGTTTGAGAACCGCTACCCTAGTGACTGAGCTGCACAGACACACTTTGATATCGGGCAATGAGGTAAAAGCTGGTAAGACTGAAAAGAAGGCTAAGTCCTAGCTATTTGATGATCTACTGCAGGGGTGGGGCACCTTTTTTCTATCAGGGGCCATTGACTTAGAGAAAAAAATCAATTGTGGGCCACACACAGCCCCCAGGGGGTGAAAGCGGAGTGCAGAGGCTCAGGGCTTCCCCCTGCAGCGGGGCAAGCCAGCACTTGCGGCTCCAGCCCCGCGGAGTGGCGCGGAGGTCTGGGGCTTCCCCTAGGGTTGCCAACTTTCTAATTGCACAAAACCGAACATCCTTACCCCGTCCACTGCCCTGCCCCTTCCATGAGGTTAGGTTAGGTCCCTTCTCTGAGGCCCCGCCCCGCACTCACTCCAGCCCCACTCCCTCCCTCAGTTGCTCGCTCTCCCCCACCCTCACTCATTTTCACTGGGCTGGGGCAGGGGGTTGGAGTGCGGGAAGGAGTGAGGGCTCCACCTGGGGATGCAGGCTCCAGGGTGGGGCCAGAAATGAGGGGTTCAGGGTGCAGGATAGGGCAGGGGGTTGGGGTATCAGAGGGGGTGCAGGCTCCGCTGGAGGTGTGGGGTGGGGCCGGGGATGAAGCACTTGAGGTTCAGGCTGGGGCCAAGGGGTTTGGAGTGCAGGAGTGGGCTAAGGGCTGGTGTGGGTTCCGGCTAGGGGTGTGGGCTCTGGGGTGGGACCAGGGATGAGGGGTTTAAGGTACAGGAGGGGGCTCTGGGCTGGGGTAGGGGGTTGGGGTGTGTGAGGGCGTGTGGGCTCTGGCAGGGAGTTCCAACCTGGGGCACGGGGTTTGGGGTGCAGAGTCTGGGAGGGTATTTGGGTGCAGGAGGGGGTTCCAACCTGGGGCAGGGAGTTTGGGGTGCTAAGGCAGGTTCCCTGGCTCTGCACTGCTCCTGGAAGCAGCCGCCACGTCTGGCCCCCTTGGTGGAGACGCGGCCAGGCGGCTCTGAGCGTTGCACTGCCTCCCTCTTCTCCACCCCCTCCCCCGGCCAATGTGAGCTGCGGAGTCGGGGGCTGGAACAGCATGCAGAGCTTTCCTGATCACCCCTGCACCTAGGGGCTGGGCATGCTGGCCACTTCTGGGAAGCTGCGCAAAGCCGACCACACTTTTAACGGCCTGGCAACCCTAGCTCCCACCACAGCAGCGCGAGCCAGCGCTCGTGGCTCCAGCCCCATATGGGGGCACCAAGGCTCGGGGCTTCCAGCCCATGGCATGGAGACTTGCCGTAGGCCAGATAAAATTAAGTAATGGGCTGGATGCAGTTCCCCAACCCTGATCTATGGGTCTACCACCAAAAATCATGACTGTGATGTACAACCTGTCTAGGCCAAAGGGTGCCAGGCTGGGACTCTGCTGGGGGTCAAGAGTGACGTACTGGAAAACTGGCTTATTTGAATCCCACTGTGTGAACACCTCTTGAAAAACAGATTATGCACTTAAAATTGTAATCTAGCTATTACGTGGTGACATACAGCAAAACACAGGTCATGTTTTTTCAGTAACTTTTCACACATTTCAGTGGCTTATGTCCTATGTTGGCAGAGTTGTAGCTTGAGGGGTAAGCATATGGCACAAAAAATATAATGCTGTACCAGTATGGGCTAATTCTTGTTGTCTGAAGGATTCTGTAGATATATTCTGGGTATCGTATTATTCTCTCTACAAAATAATAAAAATGCACTAGAACAGCAGTACACTAGTAGCACAATTTGAGACTCAGTTGGTCTTTGACCTGGGCTTTCAGATGTTGAGAGCTCCTGAAGAGGCAGTGTACTTCCCATGTGGGAGAACTTTACATTATTCTGCAGTGACCTTTTGGTCAAATTCAGGATAAACGTTGCTGGGCTGTGAAGGGAGACTAGACCTCCTTGATTGGCAACCTCAGCCTGATGATTGTTTCAGAAAAGGTTTAACTCAATCACGTGAGTTCTTTTGGAGTTTTGTGAACATGTAGGGGAAAATGTGTCTTAATTTCTTTATAGACCCTTTTAGGGTTGGATAACACAATGTTTAAAAAACTTAACATTTGCTATGGTGACTCAGTGCAAAGTGCTTTTGACACATTCAAAGAGATTTAGTTAGTAAATTAAAAGAAACTCATTCTCTAAATATAGTATTAAATGGCTATATTTTCCATGTTTATGTTCAAAACATAGTCTTATCAGTATTCATTGCAAAGTCACAATTAATGCTAGATAGAGCCTAATTTTTAGTAAAGATGCGGAAAATCCAAAATCAAGTAATAGAAAAACAGGGTTTTTGCAGTATAAAGGAATATTGTCTTACCCAAGCAAACACCTGTTCTAGGTACTCTGACATCTTGTCTCCTTTGGGACATATCAATGTATTGGCATTTTTATGTTCTAGTTCTGTGCTACTAATTTCAGGTGGCTTATGTAGCAAGCGTTATGTCGCAATAGTAGCCTAAAGCCTATATTTCTCTGCTCTATTTATGACTTCCATTGCCATAATATCAGAGCACCAACTACAATTATTTAAAATTAAAAATAACAATGGATCTTTCTTGCTTCCTGTAAGAGGAATAGCTTGATTAAGTTATAGGGACTGGCGTGCAAGTGGGCGTATTGTATATCTGTATGTACTGAAAAATTAGAGAGAAAGCTAAGCAGAAATCAGCTAAATAAGCCCCTTTTCTGTTTGAATCTGTTTTAATGAAGATGAAGGCCTGATCTACTCTACAGAGTTGGGTCAGTGCAAGGCAGCTTACGTTGACCTAACTTAATAAGCGCCTACACTAAAATGTTGCTCCTGCCAGTGTAACTCACC